TCTCTCTCTCTCTCTCTCTCTCTCTCTCTCTCTCTCTCTCTCTCTCTGAACTTTCTACTTCTCCTGTTTTCAGTAAGAGCTCTCCATCAAGTGGTTGCTATTGCATGTTCTAATATTAAATGTTTCAGAATAGATCTCTACCAGGTTAAGAATCTGGGCCAAGCTCTGACTTGTGTGAATTTGGGAAGGTCAGTTGACCCTTTCTGGCCTCCTGTGGGTTGACTGGGCACCTTGCTAGCCTCCAGTGAAAGCTCTAATGAGAAGAAAATTAAATTGACATGAAGGATTTTAGAAAGATGGGGAGAAGGAAAGTCAGGTTTCTGGTGTGTGCCTCACCTCCGTTACATAGGAGAATTCCCAACTGAAAAAGACTGTCAAACTCGAGACACAGATCACATGCTAGAAGCCCATGTATAAATTAGGAAATATAGGAAGAAGAGAAAGATAGCTCTCAAGGTCACACAGCAGGTGGCTCACTAAGCACAGCTGAACCAAGCTGAAAGACTCCCTGTCCAGTGCTCTCTCCTTTGGGGACTTAGAGACAGAGGCAGAACTGGTACCTGAGGCTGACTCCTGACCTAGACTCTTCCCCTAATATCAAACTGTCTTGAGGACTCCGGGATAGGCTATAGTGTCTACAGTCTGCAAGAACAAGATGAGGGCACCTTTGCCAAGCTGAGCTGTGTCAATTCAAGAACACAGGTAACCAGTGGAATGAAGAAGCAACTTTCCTGTGTAGCTTACCACTATCACATGACTACCAGGTCACTACCACATCATTACCATGCCACTACCAGGTCACTACTCAGTCATTATCATGCCACTACCAGGTCATTACCGTGTCACTACCTAGTCACTATCTCTTGGCTATCGTGTCCCAAGTTTTAAGGGTTGTGTGCACAGAAGTACATTTCTAGTGGGAGGTGGGTGAGCTAATGAGAAGGGCCTGCTGAACTGGTCTCTGAAGAATGAGAACATTTTTCCTAGCAGGATGGTGTGAACCCAAGTTCCCAGAAAAAGCTGTACCCATGTTAATATTCTATTTTTTGTTTGTTTGTTTTTCGAGATAGGGTTTCTCTGTGTAGTCCTGGCTGTCCTGGAACTCACTCTGTAGACCAGGCTGGCCTCAAACTCAGAAATCTGCCTGCCTCTGCCTCCCAAGTGCTGGGATTAAAGGCGTGTGCCACCACTGCCCAGCATAATGGTGAATTCTTATCCTGCCCCTGCCTACAAAGTACTGGGATTACAGGTGCATGCTACCACACTTGACCTTGAACTCCTAAGGGCAGATTCCTGTCTTTACAAATGCTTACAGAACCAGAAAAATCACTGGCCAGTGTCCAACCTCTTCCTATTTCCCACTACATCTTGGCTCCAGCCACTCGACTGCTCTGCTTCTGGCCTCCAGCTTCCTGGTAGCCATGGGGAAGGTTGTAGCTGGGTTCCCGGTCCTTACCGTGAACGGATCCCAAAGGTCATGTTGGGAGGGATGGGGGGCGGCTCCTTCTGTCTCCGGTCTTCCTGGTCATTGATTCGCATGTCATTCAGTTCACGATAGAGCATGTTTTCCCGGGCAGTCACCAGGCCAGCTTTGACAGCCCCACGGTTCATGGCAATATAGTTCCGGGTCAGCTCGTGGGGGCAGGTGGGTTGCTGCTTAAACACGTTCCAGTGCCCAATAGCTGCAGGCAAGGAGACAACCAAAGAGTGGGAGTTAGTGGGAAGAAGGTACCTGGAACTTCTAAAGGGGATACAGGGTTCCCATCACCCCCCTGCAGGGGACAGCAAGGCCTGGCCTTGGCAAGCAAGCCACCTGAAGGGAAGGATAGGTCTCCCCGAGATCCCACAGGAGGCCTGTGATCGCCACCTTTCGCTGTCAACTTAGTTTCAAGAGGGATTGTCTATATGGGGTCAGCCTGTGGGGTCAGCCTGTGGGGTCAGCCTGTGGGGTCAGCCTGTGGGGGGTTGTCTTAATTAAGTTAATGGATGTTTGGAAAGGGCCAGTCTACTGTGGGTGGCACCATTTTAGGACAAGGGTTCTGAACCGTGTGAAAATGGAGAAATCAACCTGAGCACAGGCTAGCATGTGAGCAGGCACACGTCCATTTTCTGCTCTTGACAGAGGAGGTGATAGCTGCATTACACGCCTGCCTCTGTGACTCCCCTGCAGCCACCTGGGATTATAAACTAAGTAAGCCCTCTTCTCCCCTAAATTTTTTGTTATCTGGCTTGTCCCCCCATGACAGGGTTTCTCTGTTTAGCCCTGGCTGTCCTGGAAATCATTCTGTACACCAGGCTGGCCTCAAACTCAAAGATCCACCTGCCTCTGCCTCTGCCTCTGCCTCTGCCTCTGCCTCTGCCTCTGCCTCTGCCTCTGCCTCTGCCTCTGCCTCTGCCTCTGCCTCTGCCTCTGCCACCCAAGTGCTGGGATTAAAGGCGTTCACCACTGCATCCAGCTTTGTTGTCAGAATACTTTATCACAACAAGAACCAACTAGTAGGCTTTGACTTCTATCAGACCTCCAGTGTTGGCTCTGAGACTGCTCAGTGTTTGCTTCACGGTAAAGAGTGAGGACAGCCCTATCTGGGGGTGGAGGTATCCTTGCTGGGTCCCATGTGCCCTTTGGCCATAGTCTACCAGGGATACCACATTTGATCCAGGATATTATCTTTCCCTCTTACTTTCCCTCAGCCCCTGCCAAGGGACTTTATTGAAGCTGGCTGAGAGTGGGGAAAAGGTGGGAGCCCCTAATCCACCTCTCAAATCTCATGCTCCCACAGATACTCACTCACCTTCAGGGACCCCTCCATCCAGCCCTCGGATGTAGAGTCCATAATTAAAGTTGACACCAGGCAAGCTGCAGCTTCTCTCCCTGGGCTTGCCAAGCTCCGCCTGTTGAGGAAAGAGAGCTGAGCTAAGACCTAGCTGGAGTGTGCACCGTCTCCTCCAGCAGCAGAGGTCATCAGGGCTTTTCCTGTGTAGAGGCAAACAAACTGCATGTGGGGTTCCAGAGCACCTACATGCCACAGATAGGAAGAGCAGCTAGCTGGATCTTTCCTAGAACTGGGGAATAAGATTAAGAAGATGGCAGGAGAGAGAGCCAGCTTCCATGCCTAACACTGTACACCTGCTGGGACAACACAGGAGTCTGGACGCCTTTCACACTCTTGGCTCCTGGACAGTGAATCCTACCTTCTGGATCTGCAGAAGCTCTTCCTTGACTCCCAGGAAGTCATCATTATCAGCCATAGACACACACCCCCCTCACACTTTATAGAGCAATCAATCACAACCCCTAAGGGATGGGGTATCTGTCCAGGGCCTAGTTTATGTGGTGCTGGGGGTCAAACTCAAGGCTTTGTGCATACTAGGAAAGAGCTCTACCAACTGCCCTAGAGCCCCCACTCCTGAAGGTCATTCTTTCATCTTGTCCCACTCACTTAGGACTTGGAAGAGCCCTGCTCCTTTGCCAGGAGCACACATTCTAGACCCTTTTGCAAAAGTCACAGTCACTGAGGCCCTTCCTCCTGGTGACACATGGCAGGTATGTAACACCACCACTTATTGGGAGAAGCCAAGGTTGTGGCTACTGTCTGATAAGTGGACCAGTGAGAAGAGATGTAAAAACGGTGGCCACTTCAGAAAACAGAGCTTAGGCCAGCTGGACACAAGATGGCTATGTCTCACTGAGTGGTAAAGTGGTCAGGAAAAGAGAACCATGTTTCAAACTGACATTTTATGGAGAATCTAGCAGGCATCCAGCAAAGAGAGGGAAGCCTAGTAAATATAAGGGCTTCCTGAATTCAGAGGGTCCAGCTACTGCTCTAAAGCTATCCAGAGGTGGAGGAGATGCTGAGGGGACTCTGGGTCCCTCCCTGGCTGTGTGACACCAGCTAAGTGTGGCACATGTGTGCTCAGGGAGCTCCTGACCCTGAATTCTAGACTAGGACCAACAAGCCATGACAAGTGTCTGAGGCCAGCTGACACTGTGCTGCAAGGAGACTTGAGGCCATGTGTAGGACTGTGAAAGGACTGAATGGTTTTTGGTCAAGCACTGGCTAGAAATCTCTGGGGACCCTGCAGGGTTCCCTGCAAGGGACGGCAGGCATTTCGCCATGCTCCCAGACTCTAAGCTCCTGACTCGAGGCTGCAGACGTCCATTGATCCGTGCCTTTCAGGCACGTAGGACAACGCCCCCTAGCCCCTCCACAGGTAGAGGGCATGACTACAGGCCACAGAGCCTCAAGATAGCTCTCCATATTCATGAGATACCTAATGGCCAGAGGGTGTATCCAATTAAACTTCCTTCCCAGACCCTCAACCTTGCAAAAGGTATTTAACCTCAGGCCCACCCTGAAAATACCAGGGTATAGTTTCATCCTTTTTCCACCATGACAAAATATCTTAAGACCATAGCCTATTTCTCTTCTTTGGTACCTGCTGTGGGGAACTGTGGAGAAGGTTTTCAACTACCAAGCCACCACCTAATCTCCCACAGACAACCTCTCTATGTTCTCAGCCATGGAGGCCCACCAACCCAAGCAAGCAAGTTGAGCCAGCTGTGACCCAGCCAACCGAATCGCTCCAATCAAGACTCATCCCCACGAGACACAGCCAGAGCTCAATCTTCCCCCTCTCCTCTTTGGCTGCCCGTATGCCCCCACTTTGGTCTTGGTCTTTCCGTGGCCTCCCAGGGCCTCCTGAGAGCCCAAGGGCCTGAGAACCAACCAGTTCCTAGCCACCTTTTGGCCCGGGGGCCCCCAACCCAAAAGTTCTGGCTCCCTGCAGGACCTCAGACTGTGCTCTTCCACCTTGAGCAGAGTCCCATGGCTTGACATATAGCCCGATGTCCACTCGTTGCCAGCGTGGAGTGAACACAGTCAACTTCCTGAGCCTCTGCCTCTCTGAGTGGCCCTAGCCCCTTGGTGGGGGGCAGACTCGGGACCCACAACTCAACCAACAATGGACCCATGAACATTACAACCCAACAGCCCTGGTGTTCATCTGCTCTTCCATGACAACCCCACTCTGACATTTGTGGAGCTGATGTCACTCTGTCACAAATCTCAGCTTGATGGGTCACATGGGTCCCCAAGCAGTCTGCCTCTCATCTTAGGAAACATAAGAGATGATGCCTTTCAAACGAAGTCTCTGAATCAGAGATCGGGCTGGGCTATAAAAAGGTCCTGGGGTAGGCAGTAGATTGTTGAGCCATGAGGATGTTGGGAGCACTCTCCTGAAACAAAGAACTACCATGCTGTCTCTACTGAAGTAAGAAACAAAGAAAAGAATAAACATTTAGGGGCCAGACAGTGGTGGCTCATACTTTTAATCCCAGCAGATGCAGGTTGATCTCTGAGTTCGAGGTCAGCCCAGTCTACAGAGCTAGGTCCAGGACAGCCAGGGCTACACAGAGAAACCCTGTCTCAAAAAGCCAAACAAACAAACAAAGAATAATGGTTTACTAAATAAACCTGTATGCAAGGCATGCATGGCACCCTGTGATGTCCTCTTGTGACACTATGCTGAACTTTTTGTCCTTCTCCCTGATCTCACAGAATTCCTTATATGGGGTTGCTTTTCCCATTTTACAGATGTGTAAGCTGACCCTTAAAGAAGTCTGTAATAGGGACTGGAAAGACAGCTCAGTGCTTAGAGTGTTTGCTGCTCTTTCATAGGTCCTAGGTTCAGTTCCCAGCACCCACATCAGGCAGCTCTCAACTGCCTGTAGAGTTAGCAATACAGGATGTGTCGCCCTCCTGTGGCCTCCCAGAGCACTGCATAAAAGTAGCACACATACATAGACACACATACACATAAATAAAAATAAAACCTTAAAAAAAATAAAATAAAGCAGAAGCCTGTCTATCTGGCCCATTCCAGGAGCAAACGGATGATCTGAGTTAAGGGCAAGCCTCTGTGCTTAGCCCGAGCAGCCCCTCTCCCCTGAAAGGAGGTGACATCATTCCCATGGACAGAAGGGAGACAGTACCTCAGGAAGGAAAAACTAATAAAGGCTTGTCAGTCTTCAAATTCCTGCACTCCTTGTTCCTACAGATGATTCTTAAGACATCTCACCCAAGTCCTCCAGGTCTGCAAGAGGCACAGCACATCAGAAAATTGGGAGCTACTGGAAGCCACTTAAACATGGCTCTCTAACTTGGTGGTGGTGGTGGAGGTGGTGGTGGTGTGTGTGTGTGCACACACACATGTGCATGCGAATGCTCAACTCCAGAGAGGAGAATCCCAGCTCCAGGCTGGCCACCCCGCCCTCCCCAGCCCCCTTCAAAACACTCTTTCTTGGAGTTTCCTCTGTCACTGAGTGGCTTGGCTGGAATACAGCTCTGGGTGACAGCTGTCTCCATCAGCAGACAGCTTCATTAAACCTTATTAACATGTCATCCCTCTCCGCCTTAGTCTTGTCCTCTCTGCTTTAATTAAAACCATCTTTCTCCTCGTCCCAGGGGTCCTGGGATTCTCCCAGTTGCTTCTACAACAGCAGCTCCCTCCAACTCCCCAACAGAAAGACTGGAGCTCTAAAAACAGTAAGGGTGGGTCTGCTGCCCTGAAACTGCCTAAGGCTGGTAGCCTATTGAGAACCATGGCACTTCTCCCAGGCAGGTGCAGGTGAAGTGGCTGAGCCTTGAAGTTCAAGCAGAATCACCTCTCACCCCATACCCATTTATATCCTTAGTGAACATTCATTTCCAGTCAAGTGTGTGAGAACAGTACTGTTGACCAACGCTGGCACTTGGGTGGTCCAAACTGAACTTTCTCCAGACGGATGGAGAGATGTGTTCATTTTCCAAAATGGCAGGTTTTGTGCCAGGGAACTGGATGTGTGAGTTCCAGGCTCATCTTAGATGTCCATCCCATGAGAGCAAGGCCCCCAAGGCATCAGCCATTCTCTGCCCATATACTGATCACCACACACAATATATAACCTGTTAATTCCCTAGCCAGCATCTAACAAAACAAATGCTTGGTCTGCAATTGTAAAGTCTCCCCTTACTATCCTGCATCCTATTAGAACCCAGAGAGGTGAAATCCCAGTTATTGCCCAGTAGTTATTAAATAAATATCTGCATACCGTCTCACTTTGACATACACATGCATGCACGTACCCTGAGCCTGTGCTCAGGGTAGTTCATTACTGTAAAACAACTTAAGATCTTCCAATGAAAAGCACAATATAAATGCAAATTGTGATCGCTATTAGCATAGGGATATTTATTTATTTCCATAATGAGAGCCTCAGATAAACAATCATGGGAAGTGAGGCGCATTATGCATCAAAGGACCCAGGCAGCCTGGGCTTTGAGCTGAGCATTGTCTGAATGCTGTATAATGATCCCATAAGCCACACACCAGAAGAACACATCCACATATGATCAAAGGTGTGTAAGATAACATCAAATGAAAAAAAAAAGACTCAGCAGGACTCAAAATTGTACACATATCATCACCATTCAGACATGGGTTTTGTTATTTTTTAATGCTTTAAAAACAAGGAGGAACAGAGATGCACAAAGTGCTGTGTGAGGGTGTGTGGTTAGAGACGGTGCTTGGGGATGTCACTTTTATCACTTAAAAACAGTCAACTCCGTTGGAAGATGCTTGCCTGACAGGCACAAGGCCTTGGGCCTCTATCTGTAGTACATGAGTCAGGCTACATGATTCCAGCACTGAGGACATAGAGGTAGGACTAGGACTTTAAGTCTGATCTGTTTTATATGAGACTCTCTTGAAATAACATTTTTTTAAAAAGGACAAAAAGCAGAGTTGCTTGATACATATATTATAAATTTATATAGTATATTTAAAAATATATACTTGAGCCCAGGTGAGACTCTGGTTTCATCATGCTACAGCCCAGGGACTGAGGTGGCTAG